TCCGGAAAATCATGCCAGTCTAGACGTAGCCTCAGAGAACAAGGGACATTAAACTAAGGCCAGATCTACACCACACACTTCAGTATAACTATATATCTCAGATGTGAAAAACCCACACTCAAAGTGATGTAGTAATATGCCAATCTTAACACCCCTCAACTCTGATGTAGAAAGCACTATATCAGCAAGATAACTTTTCCTATCAACGTAGCAACCCCCTCTCATGGAGTTGGAATAACTATGCCAAGGGGAGAGTTTTGATTTAGAACAGCAGTTCTCAAACTGTGGGCTGGAACCTTTAAGAAGGTCATGACCCTTCTTTCAAATGGGATTGCCAAGGCTGGTTTAGACTTACTGAGGCCAAGGGCCAAAGTCAAAGCCCTGGCTTTCACTGCTTGGGCCCAAAGCTGAAGGGCTTCAGCACAGGGCAGCATGGCTCAGGTTACAAGCCCCCCAGGTGCAGGTGAAACCCTGGAGCTTCATCTTTGCCCTCCCACACCCAGGATGGAGGAGACTGGGCTTTGTCCATCCCCACCCCTCAAGGTTCAGGCTTCAGGGGCCCCCTCCTGGGTTATGTAGTAATTTTTAGTGTCAGAAGGGGTTCTCAGTGAAGTTTGAAACGCATGGATTTAGAATTAGAGCTTCTTCATCAAAGAAGAGGAGCAGAGCAGCTGAGGCAAAGATTTCTAGGAGTTATTCTTGAGTCTGCTCTGAAAGACATTCTGAATTGACAGACCAATACAACTTTAAGGGTTTAGATTAAAGTAAGCAAATTACACACACACACACACACACACACACACACACACACACACACGTTTCAATCTATAAGACTCATCTCTTTTTTTTCCAGTTAATATACCTTTAAATCAGTGGTGCTGAAACTGTAGTTTGGGACCCCAAAGTGAGTCTCAATTAGGGATGTTAAAAATTGTTTCTTTTTTTTGTAAACATGTAACCACTGAAAATTTCAATGGTTACATGCTTGCACACAGGGAGGAAAGTCAGCTCCACAGGAACCGGTGCGTGCAGGGAGCTGGTACATGCCTGCACTCCCCCCTGTACCTCCAACACTCAAGAGTTCAGATATTCCTATTGCCACTGCATAATCAGAAACAAATGTCAGTGCAAATGTATAGAATCACTCAAATGTAGCACTGAAAGGGACTTCAAAAAGTCATGTCCAGACCTGCAGTGCTGGCCCACAACATTTTGGCACCTGAGGCGGGAGCTCAAATGACTCCCCCATGCTCCCTCACGTCACCAGCAGCACACACAATTTTCTACACTCTGGATCCTAAGGGCACCTCCCTGCCCCCGCCCACAGTCTGGCATCTGAGGCGGCCGCCTCAGTTTGCCTCATGGTAAGGCCTGCCCTGCAGACCTGTACGCTGAGGCAGGACTCTACTTATACCAGTGTTTCTCAAACTGTGCTCCGCAGAGCCCCAGGGCTCCACGAGACATCTCCAGGGGATTCGCGAGGTTGGCAAACTGGAAACATCAATAGGTACAACATATACAATCAGTGGACCGCTGGGGCTCCGCATAAATTGTTACACATGTTAAGGGCTCTGGAGCCCAAAAAGTTTGAGAACCACTGACCTATACCATTCCTGACTGGTGTTCTTAAAAACTGCCATCTGAAGCCTATTCCAGAGCTTAACTACTCAAAGTTAGTAAGGTTTTCTTAATATCTAAGCTAAATGTCCCTTGATGCACAATAAGCTCATTACTTCTTGTCCCACTTTCAGTGAACATGGGGAACAACTCATCTCTGTCCTCTTTAAAATATCTCTTACCATATTTAATGACTTATCAGATCCCCCAGAGAGACTTCTTTTCTTAAGACTTAATATGCCCAAACTTTTTTAGCCTGTAGTCATAGGACTGGTTTTCTAAACCTTTTATCCTTTTTGCTGTTTTCATCTATACTCTGTCCAATGTATTCACATTTTTCCTAAAATGTGACACCCAGCACTGGAGCCAGTACTCCAGCTGATGTCTCACTAATGCTATAAGACACCCCCCTTTACTATACCACAGAAAAATCTAAAATTATTCTATCATTGGATCACAATGTTACTTGTAGTCAATTTGTGATCCACTATAATCCCTCAGATCCTTTTCAGCAGTGGTACTACCACCTAGCCAGTTATTCCTTATTTTGTAGCTGTACATTTGATTATTTCCTTCCTAGCCAAGGTACTATGCAGTTGTCTTTACTCAATCTCATTCTGCTGAATTTAGACTAATTTTCCAATCTGTCAGTCATTTTGAATTCTAATCCTGTCCTTCAAAATACTTGCAGCCCCTCCTGATTTGGTGTCATGTGAAAATTATATAAGCATATTTTTGATTTCATTAACTAAATCATTAATGAAATACTGTAAAGTACTAGACCCAGCACGGACTGCGGTGGGAGTGCACTACATATGCCCTCCCAGCTTGAAATCTAGCCAGATTACAAGTCTTTTAGAGTGGCCTTTCAACTAGTTGTGCACCCAAGTTACAATATTTTCATTTAGACTGAATTCCCCTAATTGACTTATGAGAATGTCATGTGAAACTGTGTAAAAAGCCTTATTAATATCAAGACAAAACAGGCATACTACTTCCCCTCACCCACTAAACTAGGGAGCCTAAACATTCCCTGTCAGAGCCTCTGATCTTCTCCCCTGTCTTCGGCAATTATGATGTTCTCTTTATCAGCTTCTCTGACTCTTTCTTTATCAGTTCTAACTCCTCTCCACCGCCAGTGTAGACACAGCCTTAGGGTACAGAGTCCCAAACCCTCCCTGTCAGAGCCTACACCTTCTCTGCTGTCTTTGGCAATACTGAGGTGCTCTTTATTAGCTGTACCTCCTCTCCACCTTTCTCCACACTCCTCTTCCACTTTCCTCCTCTCCCAGCAGGGAAGGCTCTTTTTAAATGGCATGTGTGGCAACCTGAAGTGAAATCAGCTGGTCCTCAATTAATTTGTAGCAGCCCCTGCCCCTGATAACTCTGGGTCAGCTGTTCCAGGCTGCCCTGAATTAGGCTCTGGCTAAGTAGGAGAGGCTTTTCTGCTTTTTAGAGCTGCCTCTCTCTCCCCTTCTAATCTAGCCCTCCACAATTTTGTCCAACACAATCTTACTGGAAATTGTGTTTTCCCATCTTACTGGGAAATTCAAGTGTTGCATTAGTACCATGTCTTGTATTTTGAATATTTCTGTTATTTATTCTAGAAATGCCTCATCCACATTCTCTTCCTGATTTGGAGATCTACACAGTATTCCCCTACCATGGTGTGATCCCTAATTATTAACAGAAGTATCACATCAACAGTTTCTTCAGAGACAATAATAATTATTCTGATTTAATCTTAACACTAAAAATTACAGACCAAATCCTATGCAAGAGCCTGAAGAATGGACCCCTATGTCTCTGTGGATTGCTACTGAATTCTATGTTGATATAAATTGAATGCATTGTTCCACTCATACAGATTCTAATGCAGGACCAATATTTTTAAAAAGTTACTTTTCCCCCTCAGATTTAAGCTTATTTTTAATTAATGTGCTAAAAACAAAAAGGGAAAAAAATCAAAAGCAGCAGCTTTAACACTTAGTGAGAAAAATTAACTGGTTTTGTCTCCATATTAAGGATTTTTTAAATAAAATTATTGTATTAATTAGTTTAATATAATTTAATTAAAATTATTTAGCTGAACAATGTTAAAGCTTTCAAGTTTTCAAAATTTGCTTGAGTTTCTGTATCTTATTTCGGATTTCTGAATAAATTAAGTAATTTTGTATATTCTGTTTATGTATCAGATGAAAGTATATATCAGGAAAAATGTAAATTTTTAAATTAACGGATTAAAAAAATCCTTTCATCTACTACTATTAAACTCCACAGAAAAAACTGCTAATATTTAATGAACACTTTCAAATAGTTACTTAAACATAACATTTGAACTACTATAAAATTATTCTAATGCAGACACATTCTAGATAAAATTCAGTGCTTTATTTTGTTTTAATCAAAGCCACCTATTCCTTTACCAAGAAAATACACCCTAAAACATTTTATGTAAGACCTACATTTGGGCTCTACAGATAAAGAACAACAGATCTTCTTGCGGATTAACTAATGAACTGTGACCACAGCTATGATGACTGACTGTGTATGTGGCCAACTGTGCCATATCACATAGGGGCGTGGGACAGATTTCTTCAACCATCTGATTAGTTTATGCTCTGAAACATTACAATGATAGTCCTTGTAAATGGTAGTCTCTAGCATTTAACTGTTAAGTTCTACTGAAAAAAACGTAAACAATGAATGGTCCTGCAGCACCTCAGGGATGAACAAAAACTGTAGATAGTATCATGAGCTTTTGTGGACATAACCCACTTCTTCAGATGAAACAGGTTATACTGTTATTCAACAGACATCCTGCATAGGTATTACCAAAGTCATTTATGTGTTGCTTAAAAGTATTTTATCTCTAATGAATGTTTGGAAACAAAAATCTAATAGTGAAATAATCAAGTCACCAAAAAGGGAATTAAACGGGATATAAAAAATTGTATACTATTACAAAGAAAAAATGGCTTTTTGAATAAGAAAACTCAGCCAAGTTTAGAAAAATCCTGAGTTTTCTATAGCTGCTTATCTAATGTAGTTACAAATATTAACATTTTGCCACAGAGAAACCAGTTCAGTCCTACTACCAAGAAAGTAATTGGCAAATCTAAATGCTTGTAAGGCTTCCATTACTACAGAATCTAGCATTTCCTAAGCATTTACAAATAAACAGTAAGTCTCTTTCCTTCTTACTTCCTAATCAATAGCAGAAACAGCTTGTGTGTATATAAAAGTTACTGAGCAAAAGCTAAGTAAAAAAGTTTTCAACTTCAAGCTGAGCATTTTAATTGTAGTGTAGTTCACTACATACAATTCATTACCATTATATAATTCTTCATGTTTATCTAAGATAGTCTACACCAGCACCTTACCCATCAAGAAGATTCATTGTTGTTGAGGTCACTTCAGCCAATAGAACTATCTTCCCAAGCTTCTTTGTTAGCAGGTTCTGCTGATACATCTGAAGGCTGAAATGTTCAGATGAGAAGCCTCCCACGTCAGTGACAACTGGTATGAGAGATGGCGTTATCTCCATTTCTGGCTTGTAAGATGAGACAAATTTAAGGGTCATCTTGCTGGATTTTATTAATCCCTGAGCATCTTTTTTTTTTCCAAGCCACTTCAGGAAAGAAATACGAATATCCTATGGGAAGGAAAATTAGAGAAATATGTACAATTGCACATTAATGAACACAAACTTTCTTCTGAGAACATCTATATTAAAAGGGTCACTGGAAAAACTAGCATACATTTTCTAGGCTTCCCTTTATTATGATCTGCCTCCTTGCCTGTCACTTCCTTGACCTGCAACCCAACCTCCTTTTCAGCTTCCTGGTCTCAGAGTCCAACCCCTTTCCTACCACAAGACTGTTGGTGACTCTGTGGAGACATTCTTTGTCTCACCTATTCAAGAGTAGAGCCAACCTAAAAACACATGGATACTCTGCGATTTGGCATGCTAACCACTTAATGCTTCTATGCTACAGAGCACAGGACCCAGAGTTTACTGAAAATGATTCAACGACTAAGTAAAAAGCATTTTCATAATGGTGAACAATTCCTCAGTAGAAAATACTAGCAAAAGAGTTTGTGACAACTATTAAAAATGGACCTCAATACCGATAAATCTTATTTGGGTGAGGCTTTATTTGAACTGGCCAATATAAGGAACTAGCAAAGATTAACAAAAAAGCCAACAAATACCTTATAAAAGAATTTGCATAATTAAGGGTACGTCTACACTTACACCCTAGTTCAAACTAGAGATGCAAAAGTAGGCGTTCGAAATAGTCAATGAAGCGGGGATTTAAATATCCCGTGCTTCATTAGCATGATCTCACCGGCACGTTACTCCACTCAACAACTGTTTCGAAAGTGAAAGTGCGCGCCGGGACTTTGGTTCGAGCTAACGCGTCCCAGCGCGCATTTTCACTTTTGAAACAGCTGTCGAGCAGAGTAACGTGCCAGCGAGATCGTGCTAATGAAGCGCGGGATATTTAAATCCCCCTTCATTGACTATTTCGAACGCCTACATTTGCATCCCTAGTTCGAACTAGGGTGCAAGTGTAGACATACCCTATGAGAATTCTGTTATCAGTGTATAAAAGCCACTGACCATTTTGCTCTTTTGTCAGAGCTTATGATGCTGTTTGAAACATTTTAATTTACAATCTGTACAATTAGGACTCACAAATCATAGTTTACACACACATTCATTCCAAAGCATCCTACTTAGATGCTCAGCTGTCTTTCTTTTGTTACAGAGCCTTAGAAGTGCGAAAAGTTATACTGAAGACAAAGTTAAGAGAATGGGTGAGTAGGACTACATGGGTCCTGTGAGATCTCTTGAAACAACAGCTCCACATTAATACATTTTTTGGAATTATCTAATGCTACTGTAGAGGGTTTTATATAAGATGTTTTGCCATCTCTTTAAAACACCGGCTATTTCTAAACAGCCAAAGTAAAGTTGATGCTGGGACTCTTCCAAAATTAGGCTAAGTACCAATCTGAGAACAAGAAGTCAGCCACCCACAAAAAAGAAGCTATCTTTTTGTCGTATTTTTCTCTACTCATTTTCTGAAATATTAATTTAAACTGGATTAGATATCTACAGATCAACTAGGAACAGAAGGTAAAACCAGTAGGCAACATACTGAAACTAAGGCAGGAAAGGCAAGTAAAGCTATTGATGTATTGATTAAAAAAAATACTAACTTTTAAGCTATTTCCCAAATGTTCAAATCTTCAATACATTATTACACGTCTGGTGCACCAGTGAAAGAAGCTGAGGATCTGAAACTTGTGGATAAATGACTCCCCAAAACATTAAGTAATAAGCATAATAACCCAATTTATACCAAATGAGAAGATTCTAAATCCAGTCTATTTGCTTGCAGTCCCACTCCAGTGTCTTAAATGCAGAATAGTTAATACACATTTGGCTGTGGCACATGCTTACTTCTTGCTAATTGTATTTCCAAGGAATTGCTCTAATATAATGAAAATCACAGTGAAACTTTAAAAAAAAAATGGGACTTTTTTCTACCCTCCTGCTACGGATTTTCCTCCCAAAGTTTAC